AGTTGGAGGCTGACCAGGAACCACGGCCTGAGGGGGCAGCGGGGCAGGAGGCGTCACTGGAACCCATGGGTGCTGCGCAGGGAGGCCTTGAAATGAGTATTGATGGAATGACGAGGGGCCCGACACAGACTGAGGGACCTGAGCGGGCGGAGAAGGGGACGGAGGATCATGGTACACCGAGGAGCGATGTTGCTGCGGATGGAGGGGCAAAGGAAACCGACGGAGCGGAGATTGAGCTGGAGGCGGCTGCGCCGCCCGCGGTGGCGGCTGGCGGGGAGTCTGGAGTCGCGGCTGCTGGAGTACCTGCGGTCCTAGTGTCCGCTGGTGCCTCTGCCGCTGCCTTTGGCGCCGGCTCAGTTTCGCCCTCTGCCACCCCGCGGGCTGCACAGGCGGAGGCTGAGGGGATGAGGCTGGGCGCAAGTCCGGAACAGACTGCGGAGGCGGCGCTATCTGCGTCACCGGCGCCGGTGACGCCGGCCGCGCTGGCGGCGGCGGTGTTTGCTGCGACTGGGGTGCAAGGCGACGCCCCAACGGTGGAAGGCGCGACGACTGCCGCTGCGAACGTCGGAATGCCTGCTGCTGACGCGGCCTCAAGGAGGCAGGGGCACGTCCAGGCTGAGGGAGAGACTCCGAGGCCCCCGAACGGCGCTGCCTCCGGCGCTGCACGAGTGACGTCGACGAGGAAGCCGCGGGCCCAGCCAGCGCCGAGACGGCTTGGAGCAGGGCTGGGACCTGGCTCCCCGGGACCCCTCCTGGGCTGGCTTCTGCAAGGGCAACTGCCATCAGAGCGAGTGCATCGGTCGTCATCTGCGCACACGCAAGAGGAACGAGGGGTCTCTGGGCTCAATGAGGCGACAACAGAGGCAACAGCAACCTGTGTGGCAGAGCAGCCGGCGCCAAACCAGAACAGCGGACCACACACGCACTCACCGTCAAGCCCAGTAGCCCCAACCGCGACGGCCGTCGCCACTCGTCGCTCAGCTCGTTTGGGTGCTGTCACATGGGGCCCACCAAGGGGAGGTAGATCGCCTTGGATGCCGGCGGGGAGAGCGGGACTAGCGGCGACGCCCCAGCCAGCACTGGCGGCGATCCGGGGTTTCCGCGATATGGATCGCGGGAGACGAGGGGGAAGGCGCGGGGGTGTTGCTCGCTTAGGGGGAGCGGAGATCCAGGCACGAACAGGCCCTTGGCGGGAACGCCATGACCGCCCAGAGGTTCTGGAAGCCCCAGCCAATGGGGTCGATGCTGAGCCTGCTGAGGACATGGGAGACCCTGAGTTTATGTATGGAGAGGAGGCGGGCCCGGAGTCCGAAGAGGTGTCTATGGTTAACGAGGAGGATTTGGGAAGAGGCCGGAATCGAGTGCGAGGGACGGGAGAGGGAGTGGCCAGGGCGACATCCCAGGCTAAAGGAGTATCTTTGCCAACAACCACAGTAACCAACGAAGTGAAATCGCCGGCCACCCTGGCAGAGGATGACGCCATCTGGCAAATGGCGGGCACATGGTCTATGGATCTCCTTCAACGGATGGACCAACCCTTCCTAGTCAGACGCCTACCACCCCAAGTGCTGGACAAATTCTGTTTATGTCTCCTCGCACCTCTCCTGCGGCTGTCGACGAACCCAGAATGCCCAGGAGCTTGGGCGATCCTACTATACCTCCCGAGGCTAACACTTCGCCCCCCACCAGAGCCTGTCACTGGAAGTCGGTGGGCAACAATTGAGGCTCGGTTACACCAGTTCCAGTTGGGAGAGTGGGATGGGTTGTTCGAGGCAGCCTGCACTATCCCCGACACAAGGGGCCCGCTAAGGCATCAAGACGATGACGAAGGGGTTTGCGCAAGAGCGGAGGGTTTGGTTAAAAAAGGTAACATTTCGAAGGCGGTTGCGGCGTTACGCACAGGCCCCCTCGTCGAACCGAGCTCGGCGACCCTGGCTGCCCTACGGGCGAAACACCCACCGACAAGCGCCCCAACACCAGCATGGGTTACCGGGATCACTGACTCTGAGCTCCGTATCCCACTCGAGACTCTCCGCGAAATCCTCGCGAAATGCCCGAATGGGGTAGGGGCAGGGCTCTCAGGCAGCTGTTTCGAACACCTACGAGACCCAGCCCTAGCGAACGAGGAGATCCTCCTGTTGCTGACGAACGTGGTAAATCGCCTCGCCGGGTCTTTCCAGAGTCAATCAGTCCGCGACCTCCTACTCCCCTCTCGGCTCATAGCCTTGGAAAAGCCTGGGGGAGGAGTTAGACCAATCGCAATAGGCGAGGCGTTGCTCCGCGTAGTGGCTAAAGCGGCGCTGCACAGTTTGGGTCCGAAAATCCGGCAATTTTTCCTACCCGTACAGTTCGGCGTGGCGGTTCCTGGGGGAGCGGAGTGTATTATCCACGCGGTTCGTTCTCTCCTTAAGGACGACGAGACCCGCGTAGCTCTACAGCTCGATGTGGAAAACGCATTTAACAGCGTAGAACGCGCGTCATTCCTCTCCGCCCTCCAGTGGTCTCCTCTCAACACGCTGCTCCCGCTTGTCAAGAACCTCTACGATGGCTCCTCGCGGCTTCTTGTGGACCCCCATCTGGAAGTAGAGCACATCGTAAGCTCCAGAGGTGTCCGCCAAGGGGATCCGCTGGGGCCTCTCCTTTTTGCAGCAGCAATCGAGCCGACACTACTCAGCGTGGCCACGAGAATACCGGAGGTGGCAATAGTAGCGTATGCCGACGACATCACCATCGTCGGACCTCGCGAGGCGGCGTGCGTGGCTTTTAACACAGTAGTCACGGAGCTGGCTTCATGCGGATTACGCTGCAACCTTACCAAGTCCGCGGCGTGGTGGGCATTGTGGGAGGAAGGAGGGGATGATCTGCCACACGGTCTTCCTGTCCACCCAGGCGGCTTGAAGGTGCTGGGCAGCCCGGTTGGCGGCAACACCTTCTGCACCGACCAGGTCCGCGGGACGCTAGCGGAGGTGGCGGCGCCGCTACATCTCGTCGCCCAACTCAACCCACCGCACGCCCTACTCATGCTATCTCGGAGCATCTCCCGCCGCATCTCGTACCTCCTACGCACAACACCAGCGGATGCACTGGCCCGTGCGGAGTGGCGAGAATGGAGCGAGGCACTGGTTGGAGCCGGGCTCGCGGCGTCAAAGCTTCGGATCCCGCCAAGTGAGCTGGAGCAGAGTCTGTTGTGGCGCCAAGCCACGCTCCCGGTGCGGCTAGGAGGTCTGGGAATCATTGACCCCATCTCCGAAGCCCCAGCAGCGTACCTAGCTTCAACTGCAGCGGCGCACCTTCTCCTGCAGCAGCTGAACCTGTCGCCAGATTACCTTCTCCACAAGGCCGGGAAACTCCTCTCCCCGACATGGACCCCACCGCCCTCCCGGGCCAACCCGCTGGCATCGCTTGAGACCAGGCTCCCAGCACAGGCTGCAGCGGTCCTCCGCAGCTATAGGGAGAACCCGAAAGGCATGGGCAACCTGCAGCTAGGCCTGTCTAAGGCCATTAACCACACGCGGGCGGAAGAGCTGCTAGCAGATACGGTTACAGATAGGCCGGGGGCAGACAGGGGCCATGCAATTTGGCTAATTAGCTTGAAAGGAGTGGGAGCAGGTGACTGGCTCCATGCAGTGCCAACGAGGGCTGACCTCTCAATCTCCCCTGGTCAGTTCTCCATGGCACTGGGCCTGCGCCTTGGCATGGAGTTACCGGTAGCGGAGGTTTGCCCCTGCAGGAGATCCAACTCCTCTACGGCTGACAAGAGCCTGCCGAACCATCTGCTCCGTTGTGCCGACGGCGGGGATGCGGTGCGCACCCACAACGCCCTGGTTTTTGCAGCCCTCCGCATGGCACAGGAAGCAGGGTATAGGACCTTCCACGAGACGACTGCCTTCTCTCCCCCTGTAGCGAGTAAGCGAGCAGACCTCGCCGTTCGGGACCCGGAATCAGGGGAGACCTGGGCGACAGACGTGACAGTCACGGACCCGGTCCTGCAGAGGAGGGACCTGAGGGCACGGAAGCCGCCAGGATGGGCAGCGGAGGAGGCGTCGCAGACAAAACATCGGCTCTACGCAGGGCGCCCTGGATACGTCGGCTTCTTTGGTTTGGCAGTTGAGACCTATGGGGCCCTGGCAGCCGACACCCAGCAGTTCCTCCGTATGCTAGCCAACTATGCGGCACGGAAGAAATACCGCCAGGGGCGCCTCACCACCACTGCCGCCCGCCTTAATGCACACTACAGGCAGCGGTGGTCGGTCATGCTTCAGCGCAGCCAGGCGACTTCACTACTATCTAAGTCGAACAGGGCGGCCGAGGCGGCATTCCCACAGGCGCCGGCAGACCCCTGGGCCCCCCGGCTGGGGGACCTCTGGCAAATGCAGGAGGATGAGTACGAGGAGCGTCAAGCCCCTGCCAGAACGGCTTAGAGGGTGGGAGTGGGAGTGGGAGTAGGGACAGGGTGAGAGTGAGGAAAGGAATACAAAGGTTGGGAGGCTTCAGGGGGGGCAGGGAAATGGCAGGTGCCTCAGGGAAGGTGCGAGGAAGCTGCGGGTTGAGGAATGATAAAGGGAGGTCTTATGATAGGGGAGGAACAAGGGATAGGTGGAATATGGAGCTCTCGGGGACTTGTGCTGCTGTGGACCGAGCTGCTCTGAGAGCTAGGTGATCTTTGTGTTTTGGCTGGATGGGGTTGCTGAGCTTGCTTGCTTGTTTTTTCCTAGCTTCCTGGTTGTTTTCATGACTTCGACAAGCTAGTCACCACCACTTGCCATGCCTGTACCTTGTGACCCATATCAATATATGACTGCTTGAGAGAGAGAGAGAGAGAGAGAGAGAGAGAGAGAGAGAGAGAGAGAGAGAGAGAGAGAGAGAGAGAGAGAGAGAGAAGAGAGGAGAGGAGATAAGAACAAAGGAGGAGGAGATTGAGGGATGAGAGGAGGTGGGGGGGGTGGCTGCAGCGTTTTATCTTACTAACCCCCTTTTACGAAGAGGGGGTTGAGTGGGGGATGAAGAGAGGAGGTGGGGGGGTGGCCGCAGCATCCCCTCTTACTAACCCCCACATCCCCACCCCCAATCAACCAACCCCCTTTAACCTCACCCCCCATTTCAAACGCCCCCTCGAACCACACTCCCTCCCCCCTTTTCTTCCTCCATACCCCTCCCCACCTACGATGATCCCTGTACAGTCCTTCACAGGTGGGGCTGCTGGTCACAAGTGGGGCTGCTGGTCACGGGTGGGGCTGCTGGTCACGGGTGGGGCTGCTGGTCACGGGTGGGGCTGCTGGTCACAGGTGGGGCTGCTGGTCATAGGTGGGGCTGCTGGTTACAGGTGGGGCTGCTGGTCACAGGTGGGGCTGCTGGTCACAGGTGGGGCTGCTGGACACAGGTGGGGCTGCTGGTCACAGTTGGGGCTGCTGGTCCTGGTGTGACGGTGCTGGTGCTGGTGACTGGCTGCGGTGCTGGTGCCTGGTGCTGGTGTGATGGCGCTGGTGCTGGTGCCTGGTGCTGGCGTGACGGCGCTGGTGCCGGTGCTGGTGCTGGTGACTGGCTACAGAGCTGGTGCCTGGTGCTGGCGTGACGGCGGTGGTGCTGGTGCTGGTGATTGGCTGTGCTTCTGGTGCCTGGTGCTGGCGTGACGGCGCTGGTGCTGGTGCTTGGTGCTGGCGTGATGGCGCTGGTGCCGGTGTTGGTGCTGGTGACTGGCTGCGGTGCTGGTGCCTGGTGCTGGCGTGACGGCGCTGGTGTTGGTGCCTGGTGCTGGCGTGACGGGGCTGGTGCTGGTGACTGGCTGCGGTGCTGGTGACTGGCTGCGGTGCTGGTGCATGGTGCTGGCATGATGGCGCTGGTGCCGGTGCTGGTGTTGGTGACTGGCGGCGGTGCTGGTGCCTGGTGCTGGCGTGACGGCGCTGGTGCTGGTGCCTAGTGCTGGCATGACGGCGCTGGTGTTCTGCCGCCACTCCCTTCCCCATTTTCCTCTCTTCCCCACAGCATTCCGCCGCCACTCCCTTCCCCCTTTCCCTCTCCCCCCCACAGCGTTCCGCCGCCAATTCCTTCCCCTCCTCCCTCTCCCACCCACAGCGACCCCCGCTGCACACGCGAACAGTCGCGACGGGAAGGGAGGGTGGGGGTGACAGGCAAGGGGCCGGGGGAATGCGATGGGTAGAGCGAGGAGTCAGGAGGGAAGAAAACGGGACGGGGGGGGAGAAGGGCCGCGACGACCACCACAGACGCCGTCCCCTTCATTCCTGATGCCCCCCCCCCCCTACCCCCCTCCCCCCCCCCCCTCCCCCTTCCCCACTCTCGCGCAAACTCGGCAGCAGGCGCAGGCGTGGGCAGAGGTGGTGACGGGGGTAAACGTGACAGGCTGACGACGAGGGAAACGCGACGGGCTGGCGACGGGCAGGTGACAAGGGAAAAAATGACGAGCTGTCGATAAGGGAAACGTGGCCGGCTCGCCGCCGCGCCCGTCGCAGCGAGCACCGTGCCATGAATGGGTGGGCCCATTAACTTAGGACAGGATTTTAATAGCTCAATAGCATGTTACAAGACTAACTGAACTAGTAACCGGGTTTAAGGAGGGCCTAGGCTTAGTAGCCTAGGCCAAGCAAGTGCCGAGGTCAAGGCCAAGGGAGTGTCGAAAGAATGTTGACCAAACAAAGTTAGCTTCACCAAAAGCAAAGCATACAAGATATGGTCAAGAAACTAGAAAACAAGAGGTGCACAACCAACTGCAAAGAACAATAACTGCACTAACTACAGCAAGCAGGATATATCTTAAATAACTTTGACATCTTCTTCTTGGTGGACTTGGTGGTACTGGTATTGGAAGCGCTGAATTTGGTGGTGCGTTGTAGTCGTTGCCATGGCGGCCTATCGTCTTGGAGCAGCCGTTGTTGTCGCTACATGAGCCGGCGCCCACTTGTACTACTCCTCTTTTGATTCCGCCGCCTGACCTGTCTCGGCCACTGTTGCCGCCTGACTCCCTTTTGCCTGCTCCTGCTAGATACTCCCCATTGCGCGTCTCCCTGACTGGGCCTCGGGTGTATGTGTCTTGTGCCGCCTCCCCCTCTATCTCTCGTGTTACTCGGGAGCCTGTTGTCCTGCCGTTACTTCCCCCGTCGTCACTTTCTGCTGTTCCAGGCCCTATGTCTGCCCTTGCTCGTGTCGCTTGCCCGACAATTCCTAGTTGTCTAGACGTGCTTGTGACTGCACCTGCCGCTTTGACAGCTGCTGCTTCTGCCTTCGTAGCTGAGCTCACTGGTTTTGCCGCTACTTGCCATCGTGCATACCTTACTGGTCTCGTCTCTGTCTTTTCGTGTCCTCCGTCCGTTGGGGGTGAGTTTTCCCTTGGCTGTGACGTCCTTGAGGACACGCAGTCCGAGGTGGAGTGCCATCCTGCGCACTGGCGGGCTGCCAGGAGGGTGCTGCACTACTTGGTCTGGCTCGCGAGAAAAACATAGCACCTTGCTCTTCGTTCCATTGCCGTGCAAATATTGCAGCAACGTTCCTAGCTTCGCCTTTTGTACGTGGCCACACCGGCCAACACTGCTTGTATCTTGATCTTGCCTTGTAGTTTGATACATAAACATGCATGTCTCGGGTTGCTAGGTTGTAATCGTTGTACTGCTTGTTCAGTTATAAAACTGCATGTGAACTGGCCTTGTGACCGCTTGCCTGTGCTCAGAATGCGTGGTGATGTTGAGATCCACCATGAGCTTTGCTTTGCTTTGTTCTCTTGCTTGACTGGTCTTGTGACCGTTGGTTGTTCTTGCTATCCCCCACTTTGCCTATGGGGGTGTGTCAAACTATGTTTCAATGTTTGTAGGCTATAGTGGGGTAGCTTATATAGGGTATAACCTTTTTAGGGTTGCATACTTGTATCTCCCTGCAGCTAGTCACAATCCATTATAGCCTAGTCTTCTGACACACTGGCACCAGTAGCAAGCAGCACACAAGCGACACCGGACGGCGCAGCGGCGGGGGCGAGCGGCGCTCAGGCGGTTCCGGGCTAGCAGGGGGCGGTGCACAGTTGGCACCGGGCGGCCGCGGGCAGCGCACAGGCAGCCGCGACAGGAGGGGGTGCAGTGGCAGGGAAGCGAGTGGCAGGGCAAAGTGCATTGCGCGGTAGCGGTGGTGTGGCAGGGCAGCTCGTGGCGGCAACGCGTAGCGGCAGGGCAGCGCGTGCGACAGCGCAGCGCGCTGCAGCGGCAGGGCAGCGCGCAGTGCGTGCTTAGTTGTGCCTCACGCGCGAAAGAGCAGTGCGGCTGGCGGCGGCACAACAGCGCACGAGCGGCAGTAGGGCAGGGTAGCGCACGCTTGGCAGCAGAGCAGAGTTTGCGCGCTCCGCAGCAGGGCAAGGTGCAACAATAGAGCAGAGCAGTGCACGACAACGGCTCATAGCAGTGTGCACAGCAGCACGTAGCTCAAGAGCAGCGCATAGCAGCACGCAGTAGCGCAATAGGGTAGTAGTAGGGACGTCGACGAACGGACCTAACCTACTTGATGATACCATGTTAGAAACTAGCAAAATGCAGTTCACTAGCAAGGAGGGGGTACAAGTACAAACCCAAAAAAAGTCATACCCCTTGGAGAGGGCTCCACTACAATCTAAAAGAATAGATTTAGTTTGACATTGTACGTGATGTGCAGGGTTAAAGCAAGGTAAAAGAAAGTCGATTCTTTACACTACCCCCTTCCTCAAGGCGACCCTTTGTACGAAAGAGCGTTGACGCCAATGCGTTCGGATAGGGGGTAAAGATAGGGTGATTCTCCAATTTGTCTAGGGACACTTAGTGCTGATTTGAAGTTACTCGCTATCTTGGGAGTAACTTCACCAAGATGTCAGACCTTTTACAAAGCCGAGAAAATGGAGGCTCCTGAGGGTACAGTTGGGGGGAGATAACGATTAGCGTTATGTTATGTGATTATATTTCCTTCTTTAATTGCCTGTGCTGATGCTCTTGATGGCCAACCTAAGTTCGGGGTGTCGAGGAGAATGGAGACTCCTGAGGGTATAGTTGGGGGGAGATAACGATTAGCGTTACGCTATGTGATGATACTTCATTCTTAAATTGCCTGCGCTGAGCAGGACCGGGGAGCTTGCAAAACTCCAATGAACTGTTGCGCCCGTGAATCGAGTTTGTCAGGGTTCGTCGTAACGGGTAATGTGGGTTCTTGACTGTAATTAGGGTGGAAAGGTGATTGGTGGGTAGTGGCGCATGCCACGTTGTTCTATGCGAATTCGATGAATGGTATCTACTGTTCCCAGGCCATTAAATCGCCCCATGTAGCGTGGATCTGCTGCTCCATACCACCATCGCCCAGATAAAAGAGAAGACATGGGTGTCTTTAATTGGAGTAGATTCTTATAAATGGGTGTTAAGATACCCATGTGTGTTACGAGCTTAGACATATGTCTTATATAAATGGTATAAAAAATCAGGGATTATATTATAAAAAGGAGGGGGGTCCTAAAAGGTTTTTATGCATGTGCAGGGTAAAGTCGTCATACAATGATCTCTGCCATTTCCATATGCACTAGCAGAAGAGGGCTTCTGCACATGGCCCGTTTTTCAAATTTACTACTCTGATTTTTGGGGTTCTTTTTCACGCAACCCAGGTTTTCAGGTTTGGGTCAAATTCCTACCCTGATTCGTCAGTATAACCCTATTATAAAACTTAAACACCCTGAACCATCAGTGTAACGTTTTGCTCTACCCTGACACTTAGGTTGTAGGTTGTTGTTGATGCTTTAAAAAAAAAAACATATAATAGCGATGCACGTTCAATGGAAGGGGGAGGACACCAACACCACAACACAACCATACTCGCTATTGTCTTCCTCACTCTTGGACGAAGCCTCCAACTTCCTTTTCCCATGTCCTGTCAAAGGTCGCACTATTGCAGGTGATTTTGCTGGTCACAGCTGCTTCTGCCTGCGCCAGATGTCCACCACATTTGGCCAGTTGGGGTCGTAATCGAGATGTGGATCACCATCAACTCATTCAGGCGTGCATCACCAAGCGACGTTCTGTTCCACGTTTTGATCACGTTCTACTGATAAAAGCCATGTCCACACTCCACAGTACTCAACGGCAGAACCAACAGTGCCTGCCACATGGTCATCAACTTCGGATAGGTGCGTGGCCAGTCCTTTGTCTTGAGCATGCTGTGAAGTCCCTGATGTTGATCGTTGTCCTTGTGGTGATTCTTCGTGATGTGGCATAACTCAGCTACTCGTTGGTTGAAACCTGCGCATAGTGTACATTGATATACATTATGGACGAAACTGTTATCACGAGGTTCAGGCTATGGATTCGTTAGTGTAAGCAAGTAAAAGAAGGTTCATTTCTGGTTATACAAAAGTCATACCGGGAAGTTGAGTGCCGAAGGTGTGTCGTTCTGCTCTAGCCACTCCGCGCCTCTTCGCTCTCTGTGCTTGGTTTATTCGGCCACATGTCCACCTTGTATAGCTTTGTGATGCCCATTTTCTTGAGGCGACATATGCGGCTCGACAGATTTCATGCGGTCTCCTTGGCGAACTCGGTGCAGAGTTTTTCGCGCTCGCCAATCGAGTCGCTGAACTTATGACCTGCCTGCGACGCCTCGCTAGGACTAATGGTGTGCGAAACTGGAGATCCTTCCTCATCCACGCCGTCAATGCGGTTCCCATCTTCGATCGCTCCAAAAAGCGGTACAGGTTTGGGTGTCAAAACATATACTTCTAGTTATTTCTCTCTAGGTTGTGTAGGGGTCATTCCTTAGAGGGTATAACCCCATTCTCTCGATTGTCTTGTACCCCCTTCCCTTACCTAATCGACACACCTTCCTAGTATTCTCAACATGGTATTAAGAGCTAGGACCTTCCTAGCCTAGGACAAAAAATTTCAAAGGGCCCACCGTTAAAACCTTCCGTGTTCCTGCCCGAATTGCACCCTAGGCGCATTCTCTTATTTTTCTGCCCGAAATGCACCCTTAGGTGCGTCGATTTTCGCTGCCCCACAGCCCTGCCCTATCATGTCGCGCGTAGCCCATGAGCAGCCCGTACAGCCCGCGTCAGGCCCGCGTGCGGCCCGTATAGTCAGCGATAGGGCTTCGTGTTGCCCGTACAGCCTACGTCAGGCCCAAGCGCGGCCCGTACAGTCCGCGCTAGGCCTTCGCGCAGCCCGTACAGCCCATGTCAGGCACGCGCACGACTAGTAGAGCCCACGCCAGGCCTGCACGTTGCACTGCGCTTGTGCTGCTGCTCT